TTACACCTGAGTTTCTCCAGCGGTGACCACGGTTCACGTGTAAGTTGTGGTCTCAGTCTGAGGAGCTGGTACTAGTGTCAACAAAAAAGTCAAATGGCACGTACTTGAGGATGGCCTACACCCTGAGAATGCGTTGTGAAATGTTTGATTCTATCATGGTTTCAGATCTCTCTGTAATATACGTAGGATGTACACGGGGGATCAAGACATAAAATTATTTCTCACCATGGAGCAGGGTCAAAACCTGACAGCCACGATCCTATTTCCATGTGGAAAGAAGGTGACCCCCACCTCTGAGCAAGGGGAACTGGAGGTAACAGGACCCATTCAAGGAATGAAAAAGTAAACCAAGCATCCCTGGGGCACCAGGTAGGACCCAGGCCTTTTCTTCAGCTGAACTGTAAGGTGCTAAGAGGTCCCGCCCCACAAAGGGAACCCAGGAGGACCTGACATTGTTCCCTATTTTGCTTTTGCCTGAATTACTTCAGGACACCCTGTGCTTCCTTTCCCGACTTACTCATAAACTGTGGAAGAATGGCCAACTTATGTACCCTTTCCCGCCTCTGTGCAGCGTCTGCACAGTGGGGCTGTTAACACCCACTTCAGGCAGTTGTGAGCAACAGGGACATTGCTGCAGCAGCCCTGTGCAGAGATGCTCCCGCTCACTCCTTCCTTCCTTCACCACTTCAATCACTACTGATGAAATACCTACATATCTGTACCTCCTGTGAGTTACTCATCACACGCGACACGTCTCTATTCTCTTGTAAAGACCAAAATTCACCAAAATAAATGCAAACATGTGACTGTGACAAAAGCTACTTTTGAAAATTAAAATTGGAGTCTTGAAAATTTAAAGTGCAATCGAGGAAGTCAAAGGCAAATTTTAGAAAACCTTCCACAACATAGAGAAGAAAGACGAAGAGATAAAAAAGAAAGAAAGAAAAAAAAAAGGCTAAAACCAATGGAAGACGAACTTAGATACTCCAAATCCCCTGAGTAGAAATTCAAAAAACGAATAATAATAAAGAGGGGAAAATTAGTAAAGAAAGAAGGAAGTTCTGGGAGATGAGCGGTTTTCAGGTTGCTTGGGGCACTGATGTCAGCCGGTAAGAGGGAAAACCTCTGAGCTTCCGAGCTTCCCAGGAGAAGCAGGATCAGACTGCAGACTGGCCTGGCAACAGAGGGCACCATTCGGAAACCTGGACCCTGTACACGCCTGGCATAGAATAATCACCTCAGGGCCTTTCCAGACTTGGGTGAGATGATTTTCCCCTTGGTGAAATAGACATTTCTGACGTGCAAAGCCTCAGAACCCTTCTTTGGAGGTTCCTATTCTGAAAAAAACTGCCTGGGGCTCTGTGTCCACTAACTGGAGAAGAAATCCAAGAAAGAAGATGGTTGATGTGGACACTCAAACCCTGGGGCTCATAAGGAACCCGAGCTAAACAACCCCCGGCCCTCGGGTCACTTGGATTCTGCTGCGGCGGCAGGGCAAGGCGGTGAGGGGAGCAGGCCCAGCCCCACGCAGCACACCTGTGCTCCCACTGAGGCAGGACCTGCCCAGCCCAGGAGGGATGCCTGTCGGCAGGCCGGCTCTTTTTTTTGTGTCTGTGAATCCTTAGCACAGTATGTATGTGTGTGTATATATATATATATATATAAATTGCACTTTAGATTCTGGGGTACACGTGAAGAACATGCAGGATTGTTGCATAGGTACATACATGGCAATGTGGTTTGCTGCCTCCATCCCCGTCACCTGTATCTGGCATTTCTCCCCATGTCCTCCCTCCCCCACTCCCCACCCCCCACTGTCCCTCCCCTATTCGCCCCAACAGACCCCAGTGTGTGATGCGCTCAGCTCTTCCTGTCCCATCAGGCTCTGGAGACGACCCCTTGTGAATGCTTGGTTTTCAAAAGCAAATAAACAGAAACAAATTAGGTGTGAGAGCTTGCTTGCCTAAAGTAGACTTCCTAGACGAAATTTCTGCCTCTGACTTTAAATATTTTTTTAATGAACTAGGATCTGCGAAAGGGGGATGTTGGTAGGTTCTTGGCCCCCCTGCCCTCGGACAGGACTCTGAGCATGGGGTTGTGGCCGCAGAGGCGCGGGGGATGGACCCGCTGCCCTGCTCCCGCCCAGCCAGGGAGGGGAGCTTTGGGTTTCATGCAATACTTTGTTCTGGAGTCATGCACGGTCACCTTCTGATTAAAAAAATGTGGATGGATTTCAGGCAAAGAACCTTCTCCACCTCATCCATTTTCCTTGTTCTGTTTGCTCTTTAGGGAGCATTGTTCAGCATAAGGTTATCATTCATAAAATCCCACAAACAAGCATGCTTTATAGGACAACTTTAATAGGAACCTCACACCCATTTTAATTTATACTATGAATATGAATTGTAGCATAGATTGCTTGTCATTCATGAATAACTAATTGTTTAATTTTTAGATATTATGAGCTATTTGTATGTATGTTTCTTGGTATTACACTAATATTCCGTTGACATTAGCTGATTGCAAAATGCTTTTTAAAATAACCATAGCTTTATAAAATAATTTACTAAAAACACCCCACATGCATCACAGCGTTAAAATTGAACATGTTGCCAATCTATTGACTCATTTTAATTTTTTTATTTTAATATAATATGTTGAGTTTTTCTCATTGATTGACCTTTGGGGTGGCAAATTTAAAGCTGGCCATGAAATTTCTTTTTTACCCAAAAGTACTTTTTTATATTTTCAAATTTTCTGATCTTCCATACTTTCTATTTGTCTTTACACCCAAAATAAATTATTTTTCTACATATTTAAGATTGCTACTATGTCTATTGTATTCTTCCTCTCTCCCTTGCCTTGAGTTTATGTAGTGACATCTTACGCATCTGTTTTATGCTGCCTCACCCACGTGTAGCAGAGTGCCAGAGACCCAGCCCGGGTCAAGGGTGGGCAGATGAACTGGTCACATTCATGAGTAGGGAGCCAGAGTTTTCTGATTGTAATCTTTGCTGCTTGTCCACATCATCATATTTAGAAATTAGAAACAAAAACTGTATATTAATAAATTAGTATCCAGCAATAAAAATATCACTGCCTACGTCATTTATTGAGCATTTAATGATAAGCCAGCCATCTTTAATGTATTATTTAATTCAGATATTGAAAAGTCTAGGAAATGAATGCTTATGAGACAACATGCTCAAATTTGTCGTGACGTAGAAGGTGATGGTGCTGTTATAACTCCATTCTGTCTAACTGCAAATTGTTTAACCATTAAAAATTGTGCTTGTTAGTTGAGTCACATGTATAGCATCGTCTGATCAGTTAGAATCTGTCTTCACAGGGAAATGCAAACATTTTCTTTTCCTGACTTCCTCCTCCTCCTCCTCCTATTCTTGTTTCTTCTTCCTTTTCTTCTTCTTTTCTCCTTCTCCTTCCCCTTCCCCTCCTTCTTCCTCCCAGTGCATCCATATTAACCACTAGGAGCAGGCACGTAAGAGCCAAAGTCGGGTAGAATTGTGTGGGCTCTGGGGTCTCACAGGACGCAGGAGTTATGTAATACAGTTCAGAGTTCAGGGTCATGTTTAGGGGAGTTATTACATCCAAGGGAGGGACAGAGAAGTTCTTTTATTTTAAACTACAAAGTAGGGTCAAGAAAACTGTTCAATCTGGTCTAATTTTTTTCTTTCGAGGGACTAATCATGACTGTTAACCTTCTATGGTTCACATCCACCATTGTATCTCTTATTATATCCACCATTACATTCTTGACAAGACATACAGACTCCATCCCTTATTAACTGAGTGTGGATGAAATTGATCTTTGGGAACATGAAGCACACAAGGGAAGGGTTTAGGGCTCAGCCCTGATGGTTGCAGAGGTGAACAAGGTGGGCTGGCTTCCAGGTGGAAGAAAAAGATCTGTGAATTCCTGGGAATGTGGCTGCATTAGGACTCCCCGGGTTTCTTATTTAACTCTGCTCTCCGGTCTCTCATTGCTCACATGAGGAACTGCGTAGGCATTGTGACCACACTTCCATGATGGTCACCGGCCGTAAGACACATCATCGCAGGGGCTCCAGGCTCTCTGCTCACTTGACCTGCTGACGTTCGAAACAGCCCAGAGAGTTTTAGTCCTCTTAACCCTGGAGAGCAAGAAGCACAGAATCCCTTGGAATGGAAACCCTAAGGGACCAGTTATCGAGTGCCACCACCCACTGAGGTCTCCCGAGCACCCATGGCGAGACTCAAATCCCCTGACCTGTATCTCAGTGTGTAGGGTCAGGCCTTGCTTCATGGCGGGAAGAACTGCAGATCTCAACCCAGATGATTCAGCTTCAGTTATTACCTCCTTCTGGCTAACTGGGGAGTTCTGAGCACATATTTCGGCCTCCTCTGAGTCTCAGTTTCTTTATTCATAAAATTCATGTAAAGTTTAACTGATGGCCAAATGACATAACGGGTAAGAAAACGTTTTATAAAATCTTTTAGGCCTACATATTTTAAGGAGACTACGCTGGTCCTCTCACCCCAGATTCCCTGGAGATATCACAGAATAAATAAGGGTGACAGTGTGAATCCCGGTGTGGAATCCCCCATGACTCTGCCGCACAGGCTGAGCCTACCCACTGTCTGGGAAGGAGCGAGGATAATGCTGTGTGCAGGAATCTGGTCCCCAGAACTGGGAGCTCATGGAACTGGCTCAGGCAGAGCAGAGTATCTCGCAGCCCGCAGAGCTGACACGGCTGTCAGAGAACGAGCCTTCCCAGCCAGGGCCTGCTCCCGGCAGGACTTCCTGGGCAAGGCTCAGAATCTGGACCTCAGGCGTCATGTCTCAGAGAATAAAGGGGCATGTGCTGTTTGTGGATATGGAAGAGAACGTTTGTTTCCTGGAGGAAGCTGGTGTGTGGTGCAAAGAGGACGCTCTGCGTCTGTCTCTTCCTAACGTGGTGACAAATTCATGAGGTGTTGTATATTGCTTTTATGTGTTGCAGATGGAGAAATCAAGGCACAGAGAGATTAAGTGACTTTGCCACAGTCACGAACTGGGGAGGACCAGGAGTGGAACTGAGAGCGAGCCCCGGACTCTGGGCCTGCGTCCTGCCAGGAGTCACGCTGCCTCCGTTCCTAGGAGAGAAGGCTGCCTGCAAGGTAAAGGCGCTGCCTCTACTCACTGGCGCGGGGCAGCCCTCACTAGGGACGGCTGGGCTGTGGGCTCCCTGGGCGTGTGAAAAGAGCTCAGCTCAGCAGCAGCACTCACATCTCCCGGCATGGGGTTCTTAGTCTGCTCCAGACCACACTGGCCACAAACCACCTCCTTACATGGTCAAAAGCAACGTGCCTGCACCCGCTTCCCCTACCTCAGCCTCTCCGGCCCTTCCCTCGTCCACCTTCCATCCAGTCCCGCTGTGCCTCGGTTTCCTCTTCTGAACCATTCCTGCAGATTTCGCCCTCTCCTCTGTTAAATCCATCACTTCTTTCTTTGTGATGGCTGGATTGACTCCATCTTGGGATTCTAAGACACAGAGAGAGCAGCTCCCTTCCTCCCTCCTGTGGCTCTTCACTTGCTTCTGTCCCTTGGGGTGGTCCTGGCAGAGGGGCTGCCCACCTCCCCGGCACCTGCCCACCGCGGCAGCTATGAGAATCCACCCAACGCTGGTCCCGTCTTGGGACTCCCTTAAGAAAGGGGCACCACGCCCAGGCTGTGTTGGCTGGGACGCGGATTTCAGCCTCAGCTGTCCCACGCCCGTCACCCGGTGACAAAGCCTCTGTGCTTCAACCCCGCTGGGAGCGAGGCATGAGAGAACGTCGCTCACACCCAGCCACTGCCGGGCAGCGGTCAGCGAGGGGCCACCCACTCGTTCCTTCAGTCCCCCCTACAGTGGCCGTGCTCACATGTAGTGCTCCTCCCTCTTCCCTTCCACACCTTCTAGAACTCTCTCCTCTCTTCTGAGACAGGCGGGTTAAGGTTCGTCTCCTATTATTTAGAGTGCTCCCGTTGATGGTTTTTTTTTTTTTTTTTTTTTTTTTTTTTCCTATTTCTGCTCCTTGAAGGAAGGGCAGTGTGGTATTAGCAGTGGGTTTCTGTCGGGGAGAAGGGCAGTGCCAGGAAGAGAGCGCAGCGAGGGACAGCCTGGTGCGCTCACGGCCGCCGCGCAGGGCACACGCCAGCGTCCCCTTATGCGTGTGCAGCGGCGCGTTCACCGGCTCTCCCACGCGTGCTGTGAGTGTTCACATCACCCGACCTTCACGGAAGCACGCGGTAAAGACATCCCTGTGGCACAGCTTATGCAGATGAGACAATTGAGGCCTGAAAGCTAAGGAGACATAGTAAGAAGAAAAACAAAAAACCCTTCCAAGCACATACCCTGTCTCCAAAATTCGTGTTTCCCATTTGATAATATTCGAAGCATTTCCATCTCCATTGCTTTCCTCTGGAATAATGTATTTCCTCCCCAGTGAATACTTAACGTATCTCACAGAGTCCGCATTCTATCACTGACAGACACAGGCTTCTCGAAGTTTTCAGTTCTTAACCTTATAGCATTGTCCTCCCCCTAAATAAATAAATAAAATAATTTTAAAAAGGAAATGAGTTGGGCCGGGTGCGGCAGCTCATGCCTGTAATCCCAGCACTGTGGGAGGCCGAGGCGGGTGGATCACAAGTTCAAGAGATCGAGACCATCCTGGTCAACATGGTGAAACCCCGTCTCTACTAAAAATACAAAAAATTAGCTGGGCATGGCGGCGCGTGCCTGTACTCCCAGCTACTCGGGAGGCTGAAGCGGGAGAATTGCCTGAACCAGGAGGAGGAGGCTGCGGTGAGCCGAGATCACGCCATTGCACTCCAGCCTGGGTAACAAGAACGAAACTCCGTCTCAAAAAAAAAAAAAAAAAAAAAAAAGGAAATGAGTGAAAAAATATGTAAACTAGAAAAATCATTACGATAATTTCAAATATCTGTGTAAACGGGCAGTTCTGCTAACATTTTTCTATGGCAAAACATATTTAAATTTTTAATTTAAAACTTTTTACCACACTGTTAAAATCTGAATAAAGAGAAGACAGAAAATGCTGAGTATAAGCCAGATGTGGTCTCAGAAACAGCCTCATAGAGCAGCAATACGGAACACTGTCTATTACTTACTAAAAGCAGCTCTTTAGCCACATTTGTGTTTTCTGTAGCTATCAAAAAGAGATGGCTTTCTTCACTTCCACCCTAGCCACGGGTCTGCCAGGACAGGCGTTCATTACGGAGGGAGCTGACACCATCTGAGTATCACCAGGAGGGAGCTTCGCCCAGGGGTGAACCAGATGCCCCAGGAGGACTCGCTGGGGGCTGGGGGCAAGGGTGGCGATCAGGACATGAGACCAGGACTGAGCCTGGTGAGGGCACGGGAAGGAACGGGCTCCACAGGGGCTCAGCCACTCATAATGCAGGGTTCAGTGAGAAAGTCACAGCCAGGGCGTGGAGACAGGAATTCTTCTCAAATGACTAGATTGTCCAAAAACGTTTATGTATACATGAGAAAAAATACCATCATCAAAATCGAAAAACAACAAAATGATGGCAACAGTAAGCTGGAAGAAGATCCTGGCAACAGATAAGGTGGACAGAGGGGTCAGTACCGCAGGATACAGAGGGCTCTTACGAATCGATGTGAGAAGTGTGAAGGAGAAGAAAAACAGGCCAAGGGTATGAATAGCATTTCACAGAAGAGGAGCTGCGGATGGTAAAGGTGTGAGAGAAGACTTACCCTCCCCGGGAGCTCGGAAAATGACAGGACGTGTGGCTTTACTCAACCGAAGCGCAGGGCGGAATAGCATTCAAGGTGACCAGCGCTTCCAGAAACTGGATGATCACGTTACAAAGTGCACGGAATTTTTTTTTTTTAAATGGCAAAGTGACAAGATCTTTTTAGAAAACTCCATTCTAGAAATATGTACCAAATGCATGTAATCATTTTTGTAAATTATTTTATTATTTTTTATTATTTTATTCTTTTGAGACAGAGTCTTGCTCTGTCGCCCAGGCTGGAGTGCAATGGCATGACCTCGGCTCACCACAACCTCCGCCTCCCGGGTTCAAGCAATTCTCCTGCCTCAGCCTGCTGAATAGCTGGGATTACAGGCATGTGCCACCACACCTGGCTGATTTTGTGTTTTTAGCAGAGACGGGGTTTCTCCATGTTGATCAGGCTGGTCTCGAACTCCTAAACTCAAGTGAGCCACCCTCCTCAGCCTCCCAGAGTGCTGGGATTACAGGCGTGAGCCACTTTGCCCAACCTATAAGTTATTTTTTAGTGAAATAAAACTACATAAGCCTCGTTTGTAAGAAAATTTGGGGTCCTGGCTAGATAAATTATAGTAGGTTTATTCTGAGGAATACTACGTAGCCATTCAAAAAGATGAATTCAATGGATACACATGAGCCTAGAGAGATGGCTGACTTTTCTATAAGTGAAAAATAGCAAGTTGCAAAAAAGTTTTGTAAACAGAGCTTGATTTTGTAAATAATAAATTAAGAACCTGCTCTTTGTATTTACTCCACTGTGGAGTGGCGTGGAGGTTGATTTTCTCCAGTGAGGAAATTGGCTGCAGGAAGAGAGCCAGCAGCGGCCGCCCAGTCCCTCACCTGGCAGACCCCTGTGTGTCTGTTTGTATTTCAACCTGATAATGTCACCACCCAAGGGGTCCACCTTGCCCGCTGCCTAGACAGAGCTGATTCATCAAGACAGGGGAATTGCAGCAGAGAAAAGAGTCATTCGGGCAGGGCAGCTGTGCAGGAGACCAGAGTTTAATTTTTACTCCAATCAGTCTCCCCCAGCATTCGGGAATCAGAGTTTTTTGTTTTTGTTTTTGTTTTCGTTTTGTTTTTCTTTTGAGACAGAGTCTCACTCTGTTGCCCAGGCTGGAGTGCCGTGGCACAAACTCAGCTCACTGCAGCCTCTGCCTCCTGGGTTCAAGCAGTTCTCTGCCTCAGCCTCCTGAGTAACTGGGATTACAGGCACCTACCACCACACCCAGCTAATTTTTTTATTTTTAGTAGAGACGGGATTTCACTATCTTGGCCAGGCTGGTTTGGAACTCCTGACCTTGTGATCCACCTGCCTCGGCCTCCCAAAGTGCTGGGATTACAGGCGTGAGCCACCGTGTTTGGCCCCGGGGATCGGCGATTTTAAGGATAACATGGTGGATTGGAGGTGTGGGGGAAGCCAGTGAGCCAGGAGTGCCGGCTGGTCAGGCGTGACGTCATAGGGAGTTGGATCCGTCTTCTTGGGCTCAGTCTGTGCCCGGGTGGGGGCCACAAGATCAGAGGAGCCAGTTTATCCATTGGGGTGGGGGGAGCTGATCCTCAAGTGTGGGGCCTTCGGACTATCTCAAGCTCGGATCTTAGGAGCGGTTTAGGGAAGGTCAGAATCTTGTAGCTCCTGCTGCATGACTCCCAAACCATCGTTTCTAATCTGGTGGCTGATGTGAGTCCTACAAAGGCAAGGAGGTCTGCTTGGGGAAAGGGCTGTTACCATCTCTGTTTAAACTATAAACTACAAACCAAGTTTCTCCCTAAGTGAGTTCAGCCTACACCCAGGAATGAACAAGGACAGCTTGGAGGTTAGAAGCAAGATGGTCTGCTAAGTGAGATCTCTGTCACTGTCCCAGTCCTGCTTTTGCCAAGGTGGGTAAGGAAAAGCAGGCGTTACGGCTGCACTTGAGGTCATCAGCAGAGAGACAGCCTGGGTTCTGACGCCCTAGGATTCCCGGGCGGGCCAATGGATGGCATCGTGGTGAGGGCGAGGGGGATGGACAGGACGGCGGGGGAGGGGGCACCTGGGGACCCCAGCAATGCTCCGTCGTGGTGGGATCAGGCCTGGATGAGAGCGGCATCCAGGAAGATGCCAGGAACTGGGGACAAAAGACACCAGCCCAAGCCAGAATGTGACAAATTATGTGACAGAAGAAAGGGGGCGAAACTAGCCAAGTATTATTTTAAAGCTTCAGAAGGGAAGAACGCTCACCTCACACACTCCGGACCTAGCTACGGAGAACGCAGACCCATGCCGGGGTGCCGTGAGGCCCCCGCTCGTGAGCTCTTACAGCCAGTGGGGAAGCATCTTCTTATCACTGTGCAGAGACCGATGTCTAATAAATAA